GGGGGGGGAGCCTGTATCAGTCTGTAGAAAGGAAGCAGAGTTACCATTTTACTGTGAAGTTCTTTATAAATTGTACAGTGAATTAATGAAGGAGCAGCTGAAGGTCATGGAGAAGAAGAAATGTTGGGTTTACACGTATTCTTCTTGCAGGTCAAATATAACACCCCTCCCCTCTTATACGGCTCCCTTCGAGAATATCAGAAGATTGGCTTGGATTGGTTGGCCAAGTTGTACAAGAAGAACCTGAACGGCATCTTGGCTGACGAAGCTGGCCTTGGGAAAACTGTGCAGATCATTGCCTTCTTTGCACACCTGGCATGTAATGAGGGTAAGCCAATCGTGCTATCCTCCCTTGCTCTGACCCGTCGGTTGCATAAAGGTAGTGGGAGTCAGGTAGTATAACTAGTCTTAATGAGCATCTAGTTCATCATACTAGAGTGCTCTGTAATTTGATAGATACAATCTGCCACATACTAACCTTTATGCTCCCCTATACCCATCTAATGCTCCTACCCCTCCTTTTAGATACATACTTTCTGTTTCATATCTTTTAGCTTTCTATATATAGACTTTGATGTGTTTTCTATGCTTTCTAATTGACTCTACCCCATCCTCCGTATGCTGGCCTTTCATCATAATAAAGAGTTGAGTTGAGTTGAGTTGAGTTGAGTTGAGTTGAGTTGAGTTGAGTTGAGTCAGACGGTGAATGAGCGGCTTCCGTGCAGAGATTGATTCTTGGCACCTCTTCTTTTGCTTCCTTTTCAGGGGACTGGGGTCCTCACCTTGTTGTCGTCCGAAGTTGTAACATCCTAAAATGGGAGCTTGAGCTCAAACGTTGGTGCCCTGGGCTGAAACTCCTGCTCTACATTGGTAGCCAGCGAGAATTAAGAATGAAAAGACAGGTAGGCCGTTTTATTAGTTCGTATCTGTTGGCAGGATTACTGCGATTTTGGTTTATAAGTTCAGCTTTTGCTCCAGTTCTCCAACCAAGTGTTTTCAGCATCATCTACTTGGTCGTGAGCTGGGTCACTTGGTCATACTGACTGGATTCATAAGTCATGCTAAACCCTGAGGTGTCTGACTTGGGTTGGCTGGATTCATACAGCTCAGGTTGCAAACCCATTAAAAACCATGAGGGTTGGGTTTTCTTAAGCCATGGTTTGTTGAAGGAATTGTGATTGACTGAGTTCATGCATCGCACAGAAATACACGCCAGGGTTTAATAAGCCACAGCGCCTGGGTTTGCACTGAGCCAAGCCACCCCCCCCAAAAGGCCCCCACTACCCTTTCTTGGTGGAGCCTAGGAGCCAGCAGAAAACACTGCAAAAATCCTTTGACCATGTCAAAGCTTAAACCTTGGAAAGGAAGAGATACTGAGATCTAATAGGTATTTGGTGAAACCGTCTGCATTTCCTCGTGGCAGTTTAGAACAGAATATCGAATTGCAGCAATTTATTAGGCGTTGGCTGTAAACTGTAGCTGATATGAGAAAAGGTCATCGCATTCGGTCCTAAACTGAATGCTTCATCATGAAAAAGCATAGAAGCCTACTTGTTCTTCTGGAAGTAGATACCAAACGTTTTCTGGAAGGTTGTGTGCCTCACATGGAAGAAAATAGAGGAGTGGGGTACAGGAGAGCATACCTGCAACTTGTTTTAAAATGCACGAGTTAATAGAGGTGTAGATTCCAGGACCGGTTCTCTAAATCTTTGTTTACTTTGCCTCCCACCCCCCCGAGTTTGTTTGTTTGTTTGTTTGTTTGTTTATTTATTTATTTTGCAGGAGTGGATGGAACCCAACAGTTTTAATGTGTGCATCACCTCCTACAAGCAGCTCTTCAAAGGCCACCAAGCATTCATGAAGATGCGATGGAAGTACCTCATTGTGGATGAGATGCAGCAGATTAAGAACATGACCGAAAAACACTGGGAGGCGCTTTTCCATCTTCGCAGGTCTGGACCCTCTCAAAATGCGCCTTTTCTCTGCTGTCTCCCATTTAGGGGTACTTAGTCGTTGGTTCTTGTTATGTAAGCTAGCCCCTGGTGATCTTCATTGGTTTGAGCCTTGTTTGGGACAAGGATCCAAATTCAGCTCTCTTTGGGTTATGTTCTGCTGCCGTTTCTCAAAAGAAGCTAAGGAGTATACATCTGTGTAACGTATAATGTAACGTGTAACGGTCACTATGCCACCGTCTCTCTCTGTAGTCAGTACCGCTTACTCCTGATCGATACCCCTCTGCACAACACCTTGATGGAATTGTGGACCATGGTGCACTTCCTGATTCCAGGAATCTCCAAAGCATATCTAGATTTCCCAGTAAAAGCTGCCAATGAGGAAAATCAAGACTACTGCCATAAGCTGGTCATCAGACTCCACAGAGTGAGTCACTCAGGCCCTGGGTTTGAATCGGGTATGGGGCTGTCCTAGTCTCACTTTATTAATATGATTTAACTATGATTATATTAATAGCAAATTCCTCTCTCTCCCTTCAACCTCCCCACCCCAGATGATCCAGCCATTTATTTTGCGCAGATCAAAAAGGGACGTAGAAAAACAGCTGACGAAGAAATATGAACACGTGCTCAAGTGCCGACTTTCAAACAGACAGAAAGTGATGTATGAAGATGTCATACTCCAGCCGGGGTATGGATTCTGTGTGGAACATTAAATCATTGTCTGGATGGAAGATCATCGTGCTTTACATGAGCAGCTTCCATCTTGCGCAGGAAGGGCAGATATGGCTAATGTGAAGTCTTGGCAACGAGGCGCTGATCTCAGGGATGTCCCACAATTAATTGCTTTAGTTTTGACGCCCTGCTTTCTTTCCTTTTCCTTTGGCAGGACCCAAGATGCTCTTAAAAGTGGGCATTTTGTCAGCGTTCTTCACGTCCTGATGCAACTGCAGAAGATCTGTAACCATCCGGATCTGATAAACCCTCGGCTGTCCAGTTCGTCTTACGTTTCGGAGGTGTTGCAGTACACAACTGCCTCACTGGCCTTAAAAGCACTTGAAAACAACCTATGGAAGGTGAGTTGAACAGTGGATTTGCAAAATACCCTGTTGGGTGAAGGAGAGAGGGAATATTTTCAACTTGTCATTCCGAATTTTATCTTGGTGCCACAACGGGTAAGAATTCCCAACCTATCTTAAGGGTACCAGCTTCCTGAGAGTTCAGGGGCCTGGTCCACAAAGCAAACGCTAAGCCATCCTATGGCTTGGTTTTGGCTTAGCCCGTTGAGCAAAATCTTGTCATTGGGTTTTATAATCCATTGTTAAAATCCATCTAGGATTTTAAGCAGACATCTCCCAAACTGCGTAAATATTTCTGACGTTTACAATGTTGTGTGTGTGTGAGAGAGAGAGAAAGAAATGAAATGGACTAAATAAAATTACAACAGGAACCCAGATTCACTTTTTTTTCCTCTTTGTCGCCCTGTAGGTTGCAGACTTGAGTCTCTTTGACTTGATTGGGCTTGAGAATAAAATGACGCGGTATGAATCGCAAGTGGTGCCCAAGCACAAAATAACCCGGAAGCTTATTGAAGAGATTTACGCCTCTCCGCTGCCACCTCCCAGGCCGAACCCCGTAAAGCTGAAGCCAAACAGGTAACCCCATCACATTGGTGCCCCTGATTCGCCCAGCCATACCTTTTGCTGGACTGTCGGCCCTGTTAAGTTTTTGATGGCCACAGTCCAAAGGTGGGTGGAGGCCGGGGCACAATTTTAGAGTGGAATTCAAGGGCTTGGAGGAGGGAAGTAGGAGCTTCAAACCCCCCCAAGGCTTAGGGCACCCCCATCGTGCCCCCCCCATCTAAATATTCCTGCTGAGGGCATAAAAGGGTGCTGACAGCTTAGGATGTGAGAACCCAAATCCATGACCTCGGTTGCAAAGACAGCTCCTCAAGTTTTTGTATGGCCGGAAGGAGGCTCTGAAATAATTCTGCTTGGTTTTGCCCTTTACTTGGTGTGCTTCGTGGAAAATCATAACAGCACCCAACCCTGTTTTAGGTTGTTTCAACCTGTCCAGTATGGACAAAAGCCAGAAGGCAGGATGGTGTCCTTTCCCAGCACCCAAGTGCAACGTGCGACATGCGCGGCTACCGTTGCTCAACAGGCCCATGTCCGAGGAAGATCCCCCATGACTACGGTATCTGCAAACCAAGGTAAGAGAGGTGACGTCACTCCGGCTTCCTTCTAAGCCTCTGAACGCCCATTACCACAGATGAGGGCTGGTTCCCCTCCATGTTCCCCCTCCTCCCTCCCGTCCTCCCAGTGACAACCAGTCCTTTGAATTAAATTGGCCTTCCTGAATTATTCAGGTTCAACCTCCCCACCACCCAAGCCAGAATTCCTGCACATCTGGATGAAATCCAGGCCAGGCAGGGTGTAGAAATCTTGAGTCGTCCACCTGGGATTGTGGTAAAGGCCCAGGCCTTGCCTGACCTTCTACCCAGCTCGGCTGGATGCAGTTGCTCTGTTTTCCTGAATGTGCCCTGAACTGTCTCCTGGAAGCCTAGAAGCAGGGTCCTGAACATGTAAAGCACCCTCCTGGTTTTCGGTGGGTGCCTTCACTGAGTTGCAAGGCAGGATGCGCTTGTTCAGTCCAAAGTGGGCAGAGATGTTTCTGGAAATTTTGATGGATTCCTCTCTGAAGAGCTGATTTTAAGCCCTCCTGCCCCCTCCTTCTTTTTTTCTTCTTCTTTTGGTTCGAAACTTCCGAGAGGGAATAAAAAGGGCAACAGCCAGTTGTAATGCTCCTTCTGGAGTCGGTCCTGGCGAGGGACTTGGGGCTTGAATGCTTTTCTGCATCAAAAGGTCGCTGTTGGTCCGAAGAAAATTAATCACAGCCTGTTCACTGACATTCTGGGAGAATCTCAGTTTTGATTGCCCTAGGAGAAACCAAGTGTGCTTTTTCTGAAAATCTGGAATGGAGGGTATGAAAGTGTTCAAGCGAGACGTCGTCTCAGCTGTATTTTCATCGTCTTTTTTTTTTTTTTCCTGAATGTTTCAGCTTGAGTGGAAAGCGAGTGTTTTCAGGCAATGAGTTTGAGGGCTCTGTGTGTGTGTGCGCGCGGGTATTTGGTCTCAGATTCAGTGGGTGGTTAGGATGGGCACAACAAAGCTGTTTCTTCAGGGCACCTGTGTTTTTATACGACAGCGGCTGCCCTTTGATACAGTTTGAGAACTTCCCGTTGGAAAGCGTTCAAGGCCTTTGAAGCAAAGAGCTGGCAAACCAGTCTGGCCCACTAAAGCTATGCAGCCAAAGTTGTGTGCGCACATGTGTGCGTGTGCTTGCCGTCAGGCTTAACCAAAGCACAGAGTTACGATCTCAATGCCATGAGCATTTAAGCTCCCAAATGTCTCTGGATTTTTTCTTTCTTTTTTTTTTTAAGGCCGCATGTCTGTACTTAGGCCACAACGTTTAAAACTGTATCATTTATTTTTTTTAAAAAAAGATCTCCATTGCTCTAACCCTTTAAACGCAAAGAAAAGGACCGACTCTAACCGCTTGCACCCCCCGACCTTATTGATTGCAGCCGCCGCCGTCTCCTCTGCTGCAGCCGCACCTCAGTTGCAGACAGCCCCGTCTTCCTCCAGTGCTCCTCCACCTCCTCCTCCTCCTCTTCCTCTTCCTCCTCCAAGACATCAGCCAGCAATGACCTTCACCACAGCAACTAGCCCAGCCCATCCTGTGAAACTGCGGGGCCAGGCTAGCACCCAAGGCCTCCAGCTAGGGCAGGCCCACCCACCGGCCCCCTCCCACACCATCCAACAGAGTGTCCTGCCTCAGAGGCTCGTGTTGACCTCTCAGGCACAGGCCCGGTTACCTAGTAAGTGCCCCTCTGTCCCTGCTTCCCAGATTTCTCCCACTTCTCTCTCTCTCTCTCTCTCTTCTTCTTCTTCTTCTTTTTTCCAAAACTTCCCTGAGGTTAAGTTATTAGGCACCCTAAAATGTGTACAGGATGAGAGATATATATACATAGATATATGTATGTATTTTTGGATGGTGGCTTGGTTTGGTTCTTCCCCCTCCCTTCTCCTCTTTGGAGTTGCCTTGCTCACCCTTTTACGTTGCTTATTTGACAAAGAGTTGTGTTTTGTTTTCAAAGGTGCAACATTTAGATAAGAAAAAACAACTCCAAAAATTGCTGTGAAACATACATTAGTGGTGTCAACTTAATCTCCTCGTTTCTGCATGTTCCTTCTCTTGGCCAGACTTTCTTTGAACCTGGAAACTTTTTTTCTTTTTTTCTTTTTTCTTTTTTTTGGGGGAAAGAAAAAGATTTCCTCTTCCTAATTTAATTCTTCCTTTTTTGAAAACACTAACCACATCCCGCTAAAGAATGCCCCGCTCGTGTGGAGGCGCGCTGCGTAAGTGCTAGAGAAGAATGGGAAGCTGGGCTAGGAAGAGGCTAAGGTGGTTTATTTCAGATTGTAGATGCGCTATTAGCACATCTAGAGACTGGAGCACTGATGTACTAATGTTTCAATCCCTGGAGGGAATCCACTGCCTTTGTAAAAGCTAAATATTTCATGCTCACCTCCAGAACTTGGGAGATTTGAAGCTTTGGAGGCACTGAAGCATAGACGAGGGTTTTCAGGCATTAATAATACTGATTTTTCCCAGTTGACCTGAAATGATTTTATGGAAGAAGCTTTTAGCTTCTTGTGAGCAGAACCTAAACTTCACGTTTACATTGCAAGAGCAGGGTGACAAAACATATAT